TCCAGGTGCCAAGGGCTGATGGTGAGGATGCCACAGTATTGTGCCTATTTTCTATCTCTTAGCAGCATGTCCCCTGGCCCCTCCTCCCCAACCGCCCCCCCCCCCCCCACCACCACCACCACCACCAAGAACTGATTGTCTCCACTTGTTTTCATCTAGAGCAGAGATTACAAAGCCTGATGAATACCTGGGAATCCAGATTCTATGTCAGGGCTTCTGGAGCCAGTAGAGGTGGGAGTAGGCAGACACTCCTATAGGAAGTACCTGGAGGAGTTAGCGGGAGCCGTGCAGTGTGCTTTCTTTTGGCTGTCCCAGCCATTCAGACCAGCAGAGAAACACAGTCATGCCTCCGCATCAATATTTTGTAGGATCCTTTATAAAATGTCAAGAGATTCTGGAGCCCAAGTGAGTTCCAGAAAACCAGACTTCTTTATCAAGAACTATTGAGGACTGTGAGTTATTCTTATTTGAAGGGAATAGGGTAGGAATCATTCGAGTGACCCGGAGAGAGACTGTCATTCTGTGATGCCTTTCTTATGAAAATAATTTAAGATAAACAGATCAGCCCAGCTGGCATGGCTCAGGGGCTGAGCATTGACCTATAAACTAGGAGGTCAAGGTTTAATTCCCGGTCATGGCACATGCCTCAGTTGGGGTTCGATTCTCAGTAGGGGCATGAGGCAGCCAATCAATGATTTTTCTCTCACCATTGATGTTTCTCTCTTGCTCCTTTCCTCCCTCTCTGAAAGCAAGATATTAAAAAGATAAACAGATCAGTGGGTGTCTGCCACACTATTGTGAATAAGAATGCAATTTCAATCCTGTTCAGATAAATAAATGTGGGGCATAGTCAATAGAGCAGAGAGTGTTGGTTGCCATGATTTTTTAAAAAATTGAGCTACAAAAAGATAATCAGCATAAATATCAAACTGACATGAATTACAGGACCTGATTGGTGGGCCTGCAGAGGGAATTAAGCTAGTATAGGGCAAAAGTCACATTGCTTCACATTTTCTGAAGCCAGGGCATATGTGAAGGAGGCCTCACAAAGGACTGCGAATTCTCGAATTTGTTCTTCTCCATGACTGTCTCTCGCGAGGAGAGTAGAGTAGTTGACATCATCAGAAAAAGTTTGTTGTAATTGTTGAACCATTTCCTATAATTGCTTTCTTAGCCCTGAGGTTAGATTTTAAAGCTGGAATGATGAATTTTTCAGACTATATTATTTTCATATTCCGCGTGCGTACCTCATGCAAATTGACTTTCTTATAGCCTCTCTCTGACCTTTCCCTCATTGAGCGAAATTAAATTGTACAGTGAGCCTGTTTGGGAGGAGTCTCGGTGGGAAAATGGCTCTTCTACTCCATTCAGGTTTAAGAGAGAAGCCTTTGGCATTGCAAGTCACCAACCCCATTACATAATGAAATACAAACCTAGGTAATAGGTAAAAAAAAAAAAAAAACAAACCCACAAAACTAAATCATTTTGTTTGTGAACAGAAAATACACAACCTGCCTTTTTATTTAAATGAAATGAAAACATTTTGTTTGCTCAGAATGAAAAGGAAATAGCAAGGTTGAAGATGTTAGCATACCGCAGGAAAAAATAAGTGCCTGCAACAATTCGCTCTTCATATTTTCAGGATCTGAGGGTCCTTTTTATACCATATGCTGGCATATTTGACATCCCCTCCACCCCCCCCCCCCCCGGCTGCTTGAAATTGGGAAGACACGTATTGGGAGAAAGGTATTCTGCTTCTGTAAGTAATCTGAATAGCCTCAATCTGTTCTTCCAGTAAAACATATTCATAGCTTAAGAGACAAACACACACAAACAGTCTTGGATACCTACATACAAAAAAGATAAACATTTTTTGGCATGCAGTCCCAAATAATAAATGACTTTCTGTTTTATCTGAGGGTGTTGCAGGGTAGTTTTATACCTGGCGGTGTCAGAGGAAAATCTAACTGCAGGCTGTGTATTTTCTGTTCACGGAATCTCAGCTGCCTCCTAAAATTCGCTGTAACCTTCTGAGCACGGTGGCACGGGTGCCTGGCATACTAAGGAAGGAAATCTTCGGGCTTCCCCCATGCCATTTATTTTAGATTCACACAGTGTCTTATATTCAAAACTCTGAAATCATATTACACGGATTTGACTCCCTTTATCCAAAGATCCCGATTCGATTTTTGTATGAAAGCGTTCCCGAACGTAATGGTATGCATGGGATCAGAAATAGAAGGATGGGTGTTTATTTTTGCACCCAGAAAACAGGTTTGTGTGTAAGCCAGGTTTAAGGGGGACCGCACCTACAAAGCGAGCGTTTATGGAATAATCTCCATAAACCACTAGTTGATTTAGGAAGCCTAGCGTCTGAGAGAGAAAAATAACCCCGTCTGCAAAATAACTCAAGACTCGATGGATATTTTAGAAATTTTAATTTTAAAAGATGTAGCATATGAAGTAGTAAAACTGTCAAGCTTGTTGACTTCGGGGCTTGTAAAGTAAAAACAAACAGATTCCATAATCATTTAATGAAGTCTATAACTCGGGTACATGGTTACATAAAACATTAATATATGTACACCATCCTTTCTTAATTCTCTGATTCTCCCCCTGCCCTACACACCACCATGCCCCCACTCCCTATTCTGTCAAAGCCTACACATTTTTTTTTTCTATGCAATTCATCCTTTTGGTATGATTTTCAATGCCATGTTGAGTAGCATAATTAGAAATTTTTAAAAAGGGCATATTCATAAAAATCTTGCAAATGTATCATTGAGGTGTTACGTTTGATATCTGAATCCTTTTCACCCCCCTTCTCATTGAAGTCAAGTCTGGTCTGAATCATCACTTATACTTGGAAGAGACCTGAGCGAACAACCCAGTTTATATCTTGGCCAAAGACTCAGCCTTAAAACCTAGGAAACAAAAATTAACCTCTATAATCAATTTCAGTTTTCACTTTTTAGAATATTAATTTTAACCAGTCTCAGTCATTCCTGCATTTATTTTTATAGGTATATTATTATCTTGGAAGCGATTAGAAAGTATTAAAATGAATCAGTAGGGGTTTTTATAAAACAAAAGAACAAATCTACAGCTCCAATTAAGTCTTTTAAAAATTATCTAACTAAATATCTAAAAATTAAGGTAGCTTCTATTTTAAAATGAATTTTAAGAGATCAACTCATTTAATATGTAATGCAGATCTTCAGTATAAAAGCCAGCTAGAGCTATCTATACTTAGTATTTTTAATATTGAGTATTTATCAAATGTACAATTTTAATATAAAACTAATTAAGTATATCAGTCCTTAAAAAAATCTGGAAGCCTGGAACTGTTACATTTATATATGTGCATATATGACTACAATTTAAACTCATTTAGAAATTATGGCTACCACATTTAGATACTATACCAGTAATAATAGTTCATTTTCCCTCCACAAAATAAAATGATCTGAACTTTCAGTGCTCCAAATATTACATTCAATTAAATTGTAGTATCTTTAGCATTTTATATATAAAGTAAAATTAAAACAATTGGTTCTAATATATAGCTTGTATTTCTTTCAATAAGGATGGATGTGCATGTATATATTCACTACTACATGTATTTATAACACCAGCAGAATTACATTTGAAAGAAAGAATCTAGTTTCATGTTGAGTTCTGATTTAAGGTTTAATTTCTAGTAAAACAAGCAAGATGACTTTTTTTTTTTTTAACAGGGTGGTATATTTGATATACTCACCTGATATTGTATTTTATGAGATTCCTGATACTTAGTAGGCATAATCAATTACTCTGCTGTGATAACTATGTAATGCCACTTTTAGAGATGCATTTTCTGACTCAGGCATTCTCTGGAGCCTCCTATCTACATCAGAGCTCCTGTGTGAAAAATTGAAAATGACAATACCTTTTCCTTTTTTAAGGCAGACATTGATCTTGCTGGAACACATGCAATAGCATTTTCAGTATTCAGGAATTAAAAAACACTTCTTTTTACATGATATTTTTAGAACACAATATTTAGTTATTTTATTGATTTTATTTCTCTCCAATTATTTTTTATCTGTTATTTGTAACCCTAATTTTTAAATCAAAATCCTCTGTAAAACATAAATATTGCCTGTTTATATTACCTGTAACATCTGCCTAGGGATTTCCCTTTATGAGGGATAAAGAGCATGCTGTGGCAGAGCAATTATACTTCGTAGACTGAAGAATAATTATAATTTTTATTTATCTCTTAAAAATCAAGCTGTTGATATAGACCTATTTATGTGTAGGTGCGACACCCTGAAAACTTCTTTCACCTAAAATTCTTGACAAAATAGCCACCTGGAGAAGAAGAAAAATAAAAAATAAATAAAAGAGAAGAAAACGTGTCCTAAATTGGCTAACAAAAAGTAAATAACAGACTCAATTTTAAAGTTCTTGTTGCCTTCATAATCATATGATTTTTTTTAAAGTGAATATATTTATTATATTTCACAATAGATGGGCTTAGGCGTTATATCTATATATGTAAAAGCCTAAGCGACTGGCTGACCAGCCAACTAGCCAACTGGCTGGTAGCTATGATGTGCAATGACCACTTGGGGGCAGACTCTCTGACTGGTAGCTATGACGCACACTGACCATGCAGGAGCTGCCGAGCTGCAGTGATTTAGCACCTGCAGTTTTTGAATCTGGAGCCCGATTCTGGGGTGCATCACCTGAGAACTGCCCTCTTGCAATCCAGGACCCCTCAGAGAGAGCCAATTTCGGCCCAATCCGCTAGGCCAGGCTGAGGGACCCACCGGTGCACGAATCTGTGCCTCTGGTAGATAAATAAAATTTTATGGGTTGAATCTTGGTCTTTTAATGAATTTGCCTCATCGTTTCAGGTGTCATATATATTGTTTTTTGGTTGATAGTTATTTATCAGTGTCTGTACACATCTGCTTTTCTGATTATGTATGGAATGAAGTCAAATGAAAAGTGTGACTGGCAGATACAGTACAAATTGTTAGAATAAACATTTTGACTTACATTCTTAAAATCCTTTTACATGCCATATTTTATTTAAACGATGCACCCATTTGTTCACCTAGGCAGATGTACAATCTGACCCCCCAAACTGAGCAAAATTCATTTTCTTTAAAACCAAATGGAAACATCTGACTTCACGTCCTTGAATTCGTTGTAGGTGAAGGAACGGGACCGCCTTCTCAGATTGGAGGGTCTCTGAGGTTTTCCTTCTGTCAAGTCTGCATACATGTCAGACTTCAGGAACCGCGTGTAGCTGTCTTGTTCCATCAGCTGATACACTCTGCTCTGAGCAGCGTCAAAACTGTGCAGGGTGGGCTGGGTGATGCTCTTCAGGATGAGTTCTTTGGTGTGAAAATCAAGGTTAACCTGGATCGTAATTTCACAAAAGGGTGGTTAGGGCCCATCGATGGAAGTAAAAACCTTTGAGAAACAGTCCAAGACTTTTCTCCTTCGCTCTGTCATGAAGGGGATTCATTAGTGTCAGGAAAACTGGGGGGATAGACTCTGTTCTTGTGACCCTCAGGTTTAGAACAGCCCAATCACCTGTCTCACTCACCTCCCACATTCACAATGGTTTTCTTTTCTTTTCTTTTTTTTCTTTTTAAAAAAATATATTTTATTGATTTTTTATAGAGGGGAAGGAAGAGGGATAGAGAGTTAGAAATATCGATGAGAGAGAATCATTGATCAGCTGCCTCTTGTACACCCCCCTACTGGGGATGTGCCCACAACCAAGTTGTATGCCCTTGACCAGAATTGAACCCAGGACCTTTCAGTCCGTAGGCCGACGCTCTATCCACTGAGCCAAACCGGTTTCGGCTCACAATGGTTTCTTAAAGAACTTCACTTAAATACTACGGGGAGGAATTAGGGGAGCATATGTGAAATATACTTGTTTTTTCCTCTGTGACTCCAAAGTAAAATTTCATTTCAGGAAAGATTGTTGCCAGTCTCTGTGTTTAAAATTGTTTGCCCTCTTGTTTTTTAGAAAAATGAAAACACATGAGGGCTCAATGGGAGTAAAAAGGGGACATATGCAATACTTTCATCATAAAGATTAAAAAAAAATTTTAAGAAATGAAATTACTGAATTTAAAAGTTTGCTTCTAATAAAAACTTTTTTTTTTCAACTGGAGCAATACAATCGATATATTTTCAATTGGATATTTTTAAAACAAGGGCTAGCAAATCTCCTTCAATCGTGTTTTATAAGTACAAGGCTATACTCATTGTTGAAGTGCGCATGTGCTTAGGTGCTTGGGTGTTCAGCCTGTCATGGGCCTAGGGGTTCAGTGATTGACTCTTGGGTGGCATCCCATGTGGCATCTTGGGTGGCATCTTTCAATGCTGCTGGTCCTCCCCCTTCGCTTCTAATTTAGAATAATGGAACCTTGTAATAGCGAATACCATAGAGGTCATTAGGTCCCACTCATTTTCAATCGTTAATAAAACAATGTTCTTGCCAAAACCGGTTTGCTCAGTGGATAGAGCATCGGCCTGCAGACTGAAGGGTCCCGGGTTCGATTCCGGTCAAGGGCATGTACCTTGGTTGTGGGCACATCTCCAGTAGGGGGTGTGCAAGAGGCAGCTGATCGATGTTTCTCTCTCATTGATGTTTCTAACTATCTCTCTCCTTTCCTCTCTGTAAAAAAATCAATAAAATACATTAAAAAAATAAAAAAAATAAAACAATGTTCAGTGATGGCCAGCAGGGAGTTTAGAGCCTATTTGGGATGTCAAAGTGGGGCTTTTGTTTTATCCCAGCCCTTGTTTTCATCCTATCATGATGCTTTCCTACAAGCACACATGTGCTGAAAACGAATACATGAATATTTAAAAAATGTAAGTCACTGAATGCTTTTTATCAAAGTGCTGCTGACATATCAGGTTCTGATGGGGTGAGTTTTCAGGGGTGTCTTTCCTTTTCCTGGGTAACACCTGACACCTAGCTGCCTTTATTTGGTCTGTGTATAAGGTTGGCCCTGGGACAATCAGAGTCATGCATTGAATCATGGAACAGAATGAAGCATACTGAAGCATGGAAATCATTATTTTTGGTGTGCACCTCAGGGCCCTTACACATTTGTAGTCAAGTAGCATTCTTAGCAGTAGAGACTACTAGCTCTACCCTTTCAGCGAAGAAACACTATTTATTGTACACATAATAAAAACATAGACATTTTACTGAATTCATGTTGAGGATAGGTAATATTTGCCATTTTTTAGCAGTTGTGTCGCACAATTATCTCACACTGAGCTTGCAGTCATAGGCAATTACGATTGTGTTGTCACTTGGACTATTGCCAAATTATGCTTCCCTCATCTATTACGATTTTTCTTTTTTAGTCTATCATAAGGAGGAGTAATAACCATTTTGGGGCAAATAAAAGTTTGTATAGATAGATGAGCTAAAGTGGTGCATGGTACCAACTTCTTGATTTCTTGCGCCTTCATCTTTTGTTTCTATGAGAGTTTGCTTATGCTAAGGCAAGCATGTCAAACTCACAGCCCGGGGGCCACATGTGGCCCACAACAAATAAATTTTGTGGCCCAGCCAACATAACAGTATGTAAGGAACGTTTTGATAAAAATTTCGTAACTTAATTTTTACAATATCCTGTTAGACATCATTATTAATAACGAACTACATGACTGATTATTCTAATCCGATTGCATTCATTTCCCTTATGCACCTTACACACAGGCGCACTGTTTCTCTACACTAATACTAGCAGCGAATATTTTTTAGCAGCCAATGGCCACGTCATTAGTCTTGTACTGACTTGTTTGGTGTGCGCAACAGGAAATATTTCGCTTTCAAAGAGCAAGAATAGGTTTACTTGCGTTACGCTTGTTAATTTGTGCAGTTATTCAGTGTCTGGTAAGTTAACATTCAAGAAAAAATTAATTTTTGTTAAAATGTTCTATTATTTTCTGTTAATGATTACTCATTTTATTTCATCCCTTTGTATTCAGCAGGTCTCTATTAAAATAAATTTCTATGAAAATAGAAACTTTTTTTTTTTTTTTTTTTTTTGCAGTCCACATACACTTAAACCTTGTTTATTTGGCTCATTGTTAGCCTTTGACTTTGACATGCTTGTGCTAAGCTGATAAATATGAGTAAATGATTGAATCTCAGTGTTACAAGTAACTGTGTTCACTCTTAGTCTAGAATCAAATAACCCGAGGAGTGACTTTGGTTATACCTTTCCTCCCCTGACGATGTCTTACAACACGTTCTGTTTGAGCTAGAAATCTAAAAAGACCCATTCTGCTTCAGCCTTTCTGGTGGAATGTATGCGGGGCGGCGCCAGTTTGATGAAGGCAGATTCTCTCCCCAAATGATCGAACAGTTGAACATCTCCCCAGGTATGTTTACCTCTTGTGGGGCATCGTTCTGGATAAACTTCTCATATATTGCTTTTGCTTTCAAGATCATTTGTTGGGGGTCCTTGCTTTTCTTGAAGTCTTCGCAGGCCATCCAGAATTCAATGTTTTCCTCGCTGAATTCGGTTCTAAGAAACTGGGTAAAAATCTCCAGTCCATCTACCAAGAAAGGAAGTGACGTATTTTAACTGTAAAATATTAATGCGGAGAAAATGCACTCCCTGATATCAAAGTATAGCCAGAAACACGAATAGAACAGCTCGCCCTTCTCAAAGGCAGCACAGCAACCCACATCCTGAACAGTATCCAGGAAGGACCTCATAGAAATTGGCTGTAATCTTTACATCTGTGAAAAGGAGTTATCATTCCTGTTGAAATGTGGCTGGGCTCATACTGAGAGCTGAGTAAGAGTGACCCCCATTCTGATACTTGCTTAGGGTCTGTTTCAGTCATGCCTCTTCCCAGTTGTGTGTGTGTGTGTGTGTGTGTGTGTGTGTGTGTGTGTGTGACTCTATAGAGCCAAGAAGCCATTCCACCAGGACCCCTTTCCCCCTCCTAGACCATACCCTGGTACCCAGGACTCTGGATATCTCTGTTTAAAACTCTTTTTCCAGGGGTTGTCTGCTCGACTCATTTTCACTTACATCCATTTCTTTTAATTAATTATTGACTTTGGGGGGGGGGGAGCGACATCAGTTTGTTGTTCCACTTATTTATGCATTCATTGATTGATTCTTTTTTAAAAAATATATTTTATTGCTTTTTTACAGAGAGGAAGGGAGATGGATAGAGAGTTAAAAACATCGATGAGAGAGAAACATCTATCAGCTGCCTCCTGCACACCCCCTGCTGGGGATGTACCCGCAACCAAGGTACATGCCCTTGACCAGAATTGAACTTGGGACCCTTGAGTCTGTAGGCCGACGCTTTATCCACTGAGGCAAACCGATTAGGGCCATTGGTTGATTCTTGTTTGTGCCCTGACCAGAGATTGAACCCACAGCCTTGGCATATCTACTTATCGGGACGATACGCTAACCCAGCAGTCGGCAAACTCATTAGTCCACAGAGCCAAATATCAACAGCACGACAATTGAAATTTCTTTCGAGAGCCAAATTTTTGAAACATAAACTTCTTCTAATGCCACTTCTTCAAAATAGACTCGTCCATTTTGTGGAAGAGCCACACTCGAGGGGCCAAAGAGCCTCATGTGGCTCGCGAGCCACAGTTTGCCGACCACCAGGGCTATATTCACTTCCTAGGTCCACTACCCTCTAGGACTATTTTTCACGGTCAGTGACTATTTGTAACATAAACAGTTCAATACAGAACGAAGCGAGAAGAATAAATCTCATTTGGTAGAATTGTGGCAGTCACTAAGGGTTTTGCATTGATAACACGTGGAGAGGTTTTGAGGGCTGAGGGTTGTTTATACGCCTTTCTGCATTTGATTTTTACAACGATGCCTGGAATACACCCCATGCCCATTGTCATTGACAAGGAAACTGCGTTTCAGATACGTCCAGTGGCTCCGGGTCTTACTTTTCCAGCAAACAAAGACCATTAGAAATGGACACAGTGACGACCCCCTTTAAGGGCTGATCCCCAGAACCTGTGAGTGTGACTGCACAGGGGAACGGGCTGTGCTGCTGGGATCAGGGCAAAGGAGCTCCAGAAGGGAGAGAGCACGTGAGGGTCCCAGGTGGACCCACTCGGACCACAGGGCCTTTAAAAGCAGAAGTTGGAAGGGCGGGTCAGAGAGAGGCAATGTGGGGAGGGCCATTGCGGGCCGTAAAGGTAGAAGGCGGTCATAAGCCAGGGAATACCAGGGGGTGCGGGGGGCAGGGGGGTTCCTGGAAGTGGCCCTCGGTTTAGAGCCAGAAAGAGAATGGAAAGCTTCATCCAAATCCTGAAAAAACGGAATTCTGGCCCAAACCCCCAAATTACCCTGAAAGGGCTTCTCCCCTGGACCCACCACGAAGGACCCCGGCCTGTGGACCCCTTGGTTTCTTTTCAGTGAGGCCCAGAGTGACCTTCGGACCCACAGGACGGTAATATAGTGAATTTGCCCTGTTTTAAGTCATTCAAGTTGTGAGAAATTGTAACAGCAGCCACAGAACATGAATGCAACCCTCCAGTGGTACTTTCCACACCCCCGTTTCTCTCTCCTGCTTATAGAGCTGGCCCTCCTGTTAGGAAGCCTTTTTATTTTATGTTTTCAATGTTGTGGGCAATCTTTTGAATGTCTGAGAGATCCAGGAACGTCCTGTTGGAGAGACCAGCAGTGAGAAGTGATGTGACGACCTCTAGGCACTGCCTAAACCTCAGATACGATATGGCTCCAACTCTCACCTCAATGAGCGCCACCTGAATGTGTTCATTGGCAGGAGGGAGGTGCGGGCATGTCTCTTCCCAGTGAACTGGCCCAGAGCACCAGCTGGTGGTGATTAAATGCTGACAAAGGAACCAGGAAAACAAGCAACGTCACGTCCAACGAGACGTGCAGAAGACGTGGTGCGTCTGGACCATGACTCGGAACGTGTCTCGTCCTTAGATGTCTGCAGTGTGGTCCTTCTTGGCCCAATGCGACCGTCATACAGAGGCCACCGTGCTCTGCGCTCCCTGAACGGATGGACACAGTCTCGCCTCGGAGCAGAAGCTGGAGGAGTGGTCAGCATGCCTGATGGTTAGCTTGCTCTTGTTTGTCCAGCTTAGAGCTTGATCTTCAAGATGAGTTTCTTAAGCTAAGTCTGGGGCTTTATCTCAGAAGGTGGCAGGAAACAGGAGTGGACAAATGATTCTTTGAAGAATTTTTTTTTTTTTACTATTATTTTTATATATATTTTTTTATTTTTTAGCCTTTTCATTTTTATTTTGTTTGTTTTTTACTTTTCCCATAACCATTTATCCCCTCGATGCCCTCTACCCTCTCTTTCGCCCCCCCAAGACCACTCTGTTATACTTTGAAAACTTCGACAGAGGGAAGATTCCTCCCCCCACAAATACTTAGGAATGTATGTACTTCGGGATAAAGTGAATGACCTGGTTCTGTTGTTAGTGTTTTTTAAACCGAAATCTCTGCCAAGATGAACAGTATAGGAGTCAGACGCGTGAGTTTGACTAGGGTTTGTTCTCACAGCAAAGTCACAGGATCGTTGGTTTTTGGGTGTTCTATCTGGTTTCCTTCCCCACAATTCCTTTCACCCTCTGTATCTCAGCACCTGAACTTGGGAACAAAAGCTGAGAGTCACTGCTGTTATTTGCGATGAGGTTCCTTTAATGGTGGAAAGCGATATGGCAGCACCCTCTCCTGGCCTGGAGCCTTGGGCCGGGGACTTCAGGGATGGTGGCATGAGCATCCGTGGCCACTGGCTAGTAATGGCTTGAAATCTTCCTCCTCTTCTATTTCTGCGACAGGAAGGTGATTGTGTTGCACCATGTCTGGTTTCATTGCTGTCTTTCTCCCCTTCCTCCTCTTTCTCTAATGATTCTGGAAGGAAACCAGAGACAAAGGCAAACCAAGCCTTCCAGTCCCTAATTCAAAGCTGAGGTACAGTGCAAAAGGTGGGCAGCCTCTAGGCCTGTCTAGCAAAACCACAACCAAAACAACAGTCTGTACACCAGCGGAGGGTGTGGCCCACACTGGAGTTCCCTTTCGCCATCATAATTTAGCTCCGAGGTCCATTTATCGTTGAAGGTGGATTTTACTTATGTTTATCCCTAAGAGATGAAGGAATTGGGTGTTTGTTGTGGGAGAGCTTGATTCCGAAGTTTTAATTTTGCAGAACACCAGAATCCCTTATCTCGCAGAAAGTCGGTAACTAAAAAAATGGGGAAGAGCAACTGCAAAGCCACTAGCTGAACAGCATAAGGAGAAGTAGCCCTTTCCTTCCCCAAAAGAGAAGTGCTTCTTTCCTTGTAGCTTTTCCTCTCAGCATCAGCGACAAGTATTTTCCGCAGTCTAATCAGTTCATGTTTTTAGGTCAAGTGATGCAATGATGTACATCTTTTCCTTTTCTTTTTCCATTATCCTCAGAAGTAAGCTTAATAGGACGACAGTTCAGGGTGCAAAGAGTCCAAGCAAATAGTTATTAAGTATAAAGGTTAAAATATTGGAATGATTCATCAGGAGCAGGGAAAGAGGGTACATGGGGAAATAGCTATGTAGTTGTCAGAAGATTGTTTTTCCTGATGGGGACCCCTCCTAGGAGATAACCTTCTCCTCCTCACGTTCAGTTGTCAGCTGTGTGAGAGGGTTAGAGAATCTCTGTCATCGAACTGTCTTCCACCTTCTAGGGCCTAGGTGTTGGCCTCAAAAACCCAGCAAAACTTCTGAGGTTTCCAGCAATTAAGTTCGAACTCTGATAACCTGATATCATCTCACAAATACTGTTCTGCCTCCATTCCTCATCTATAAAAGGCACTGCCACCTTCCTCTTAATATGAAATAAAATGTGGGGATTTTTAAAAAAATATATCTTATTGAATTTTTACAGAGAGGAAGGGAGAGAGATAGAGATATCAATGAGAGAGAAACATCAACCAGCTGCCTCCTGCACACCCCCTACTGGGAATGTGCCCGCAACCAAGGTACATGCCCTTGACCGGAATCGAACCCGGGACCCTTCAGTCCGCAGACCGACGCTCTACCACTGAGCCAAACCGGCTTTGGCTGTGGGGATCTTTTTAATGTTTTCTTTTCATCTCATATTTCTTTTTTTTTAAAAAAAACACACCACATGTTTCTTGATTTCAGAGAGGGAGAGAGAGAGAAACATCGATGATGAGAGAATAATTGCCTCATCCACATCCCACATTGCACGTCCCTCATTGGAGACAGCGCCTGCAACTCTGGCACATGTCCTAATTGGGAATTGAACTGGGACCTCCTGGTTCACAGGTTGACGCTCAACCACTGAGCCACGTGGGCTGGGATCATCTCTCATTTCGTCATCCCCTCCCTTTAGGACAGAGGATCACATACAGTGAGTCCCCGAGTCCATCCATTTGCTTCCCAAGACAGCCCTTCCCTTGAGGGTAGCTTTTGTGTTTGTGACAGCCTCAGAGGTGGTCCCTGTGACATGCATGGAATTCCAGTGCTCCACCCATCAGGTCGCTGCCTAGCAAACGTTTTCCAGGTCAGCACGCACCCTGATTC